CGCGGGAGGGGGTGGGGAGCAGTGGGACCACGCCCCCCCCACGCTTGCCTCTTCAATCGGGACTAGAACCCCGGATTCAGTCCACACTGAATTCAGTCCACAGCTGGGTGCTCCAGCTGGCGAGGAGCGTGGATCCGGATTACCCGCTGCAGGCGGCATCCCAGGCCTCCATAGCGTCCCTCCTGGGGGAAAGGATCCAACTTCTGAGGTTGCTGACAAGGCTTCCTCCTCCCGACTTTGTACTCCGAGTCCCCAGGCCGGTCCAGCTCTCCCGAGGAAGGCCTGCCAAGCTGTCCCGGGTTCGGTGGCCAAGTGGTTCCGCGGCCGCATCAGGAAGCGAAAAGTAAACCCTCCACGGGAGACAGCAGGGGAGGAAGCGAGAAGCTCGCGAGTGGGCGGGTGACACGACGTAGCTGGTCCAGGAGGAGGGACACCAGGAGGGGCCTGGGTCTCCAATTCTGAGTAGCTGGAGCCCGCGCTGCTACCGAAACTAAAGAGGCGCCGCATCTCTGCTGCATACAGCGAATGCAGATCGGCTTGGCCACGACCAGCGCAGTGGGGTCGCCACGTGGAGGTGCAGCTCAGGGTCCCCCAGAGAGCTCAGAGCCACCCGCACCCGATGCCCCTGCGCCTCCGTCTGGGCTGCGCTCTCCCAAGACGCTGCGTCCGCTGCGCTCCGCTCCAAGGCCCGGGCTCGGGACACCCCGACCCTCCGCGGCTCCTCCAGCCTGGCTGCAGCGGGGGCACGCGATCGCGTTCCAGGATCCAGCCCCCAAATCTGCGCGGGGCGGAGCGGTGGGCGCTGACCGTGTTGGGGGTCCAGGGCGGTGGGAATCAGGGCGGCGCGCAGGGCAGGTTCCACCCGGGTGAGCTCCAGGAACGCGGGGCGTGGCCTGCCCAGAGCTGAGACACAGCGCCCTCCTCGCGCCGTGGCGAAGTTGTGCGAAAAGTTTGAGGCCAGAGGGAGGGATCCCTGGGAGTCACTGCCAACTCAGTGCTCAGTTGTCGGTGTTTGCGGGGCCGCCACACGCCACTATAGGGACCGGCGTGGGCGCCTTCCCGAGCACACCAGACAGACTGGGTAGGGACGCCCTCCCTGCCCCTCCGGTGGCTGATAGAGCCTGAGCTGCTCGCCTTCGTGAGGCCCCCGGGGACGGCCACACAGCCAGCCTGCGGCTTTCGTGTTCACTCGCGCTCTGGAAGTTGTGGGTCCCGCTTTGCTCCCACGCGCGCAGGACGCATCCCGGCTGAACCGACCCTTGGAGATGCGCGGCGCCCGGGCTCAGCCTAGGAAGGGGACGCAGCGTCTGGGCTGACTGGGACACACACAGTTCTTTGTCCCAGAGCCAGCGCCTCTCAACGTCCGCTGGGGGATTTTGACGCAACTGGACCCTCCACCAACGTCGAAGGGTGAAGAGATGGCGGGTCGGAGAGAGCCACGGGTCTCTGACTCATCCTTCGGGCGGGAACCCGGGGGAAGAGGGCGTTCGCTTCGTGGGGTGGGGCGGTGTCTGGAAACCCACATCCAGGACCCCACGAACCGCTTGTCATTCAGGAGCACACAGCTCCCCACGCGTGTTCCCAGGACCTGGATAGACGCACAAAGAGTGGTGTCCGCGAAATCGTTCCGCTAACACTATCTTTTCTTGTACCCCAGATCTGGCCGCCTCCGAGAATGATGCGGGTGCTCTCCCAGCCCTGGCTCCGGGCGGAGAGGGTGAGCCCCACAGTCAGTCGCCCGACGCCCTCCTGGGCAGCACCGATAAGGAGCTGAAGGCAGGAGCCGCCGTTACCTCGAGCAGTGCTCCGGTGGCCTCCTGGCAGAGGGAGCCCCTAGACGGGGCTATGGATCCAGGTTTGTGGGGTACATGGCTGGGAAAGGCTAAAGGGGATCCCCTTTCCCTAGAAATGTTGGAGCACATGAAGGCTGGGGACGCTGGAGAGAAACAATGCCCTTATTGGGCCAGGAGTCAGCTGGCCTTGAGCCAAGGAAAAAGGAATGGGGTGTCTCACCCCCCCATCCCCCACCCCACGCCCACCCCGCACCCCCCAGTGGGAAGTCGCACGGTACTACAGCACGCCTGTAGTTAGCCAAGCTTGCAGGCCATTTCCTCCACCCACCCAGGAGTCAGCTGGCCTTGAGCCAAGGAAAAAGGAATGGGGTGTCTCACCCCCCCATCCCCCACCCCACGCCCACCCCGCACCCCCCAGTGGGAAGTCGCACGGTACTACAGCACGCCTGTAGTTAGCCAAGCTTGCAGGCCATTTCCTCCCCCCGTGTCGCTGTAGCCCTCTTCGGCCCTCTAGCGGCTGGCTAGGGACGTTGCCTTCTCGTGTTTTTACAGCCTGTGGCCCCCAAGCTTGCTCCCACGTCCTTGCAGAGTGCTGGTGCTGCTGA